CAAGGTCCCTACGAAGTAATTGCCCGAAATGACAAAACGTTCACAATAAAAGTTCGAAATCAATCAGTTACGGTGACGATTGATAGAGTAAAACCTGCCTACCTCATGGTGAACGAAAGCACAACCGATAGCCAGGCACGTGCTCCACCAGCGACTGCCCCGAATACGCCCAAACAAAAACAACCGCCTAATACCGATCCATCAACACAGCCAGTACGAACAACTCGCTCAGGCCGCCGAGTCAGATTCCCGGACATTTTTGACCCTAGCTAACTCCACTCCGTAGGGGGTTGGTGTGGCGGTCGAATGTTCTAGAATGTTCGGCCGCCGCCGCCTCTAGAAGATTCGTCGCTCTACATAAGCGTGTGGCGGTCGAATGTTCTAGAGAGTTCCGCCGCCGCCTCTAGAAGATTCCTCTGACTATTTAAGGGCAAGATCGTCGCTCCAGTCAGTCAGTCGATAAGTCAATCACTTACGCATTCTGTCTTAAACGCGCTTCGTCTCTCGCTGTTATTTGTTAGTTCGTTGTAATATAGTATAGTTGTTATTAAATCGTAAAAGTGTTTATTACTTCTATACATTACACCTCGCTACAAATACGTAAGGAAACGAATTTCTATTATTCTCATAGTTTATAACAAATGGCCTGTTTTCTTACTGTTTGAACACCTTGTATGTAAATACAATATTAAATCACCCCTCCAGTTTACGTAAATTGGGTCCTTACTTCTACAGAGCATGTACTCTATTAAAACTAATACTTTATTAGAAAAGTCGAGATATCCTAATAAAAAAATATTTTACAGTAGTACGATCTAAAAACTAAACATTGAGTGTAGTCGAATAACAATAATTAGTTGTTTTAGCCAATGTCCCTTGACGAATAGTTTTTATAGAAAAGATAATATCAAATTATATGTTTTAAAATGATTACAATAGTTTTATACTGTTTCGTTTAAAAACATGACCTCAGGAGCTTATATTTTTACATATCATTTAATCAATTATTTATCATTTAAATATTAGTATAATAAAAACTAACGATATTTATTTCTTTTTAAAGTATTTATTTGAGACAATCTTTCAGTTTTAAACAAAATTTTTCAGAAGTTTAACTTAACATTTAATGCATAGTGCTACATTTCGCTACATTGATTTAACTTTATTAGACTTAGAACAATCTATAAACTTGTGTTTTTTTTTTTAATTTATCGATCATGAAATTCAGTATGTGTTTAACGTTGATAATGGTAACATTGTTTCCAAAATACGTATCCGCGACTTTTCATTAATTTTTTTGTGGCTTTGAGTTTAATATTTTTTAGTTTTTTAAATTAATAATATTTTTAATATAGTTTTAATTTTACTTATACTTTACTACATATACATTATTATTTAAGTTTTCACCATTTTTATTATAAGAATTGATATTTAATTAAATGTTTCCATTTAAAGAAGTAACGTGTTTTGACTTGTTCCTCTTAAATTCATATTGTAGAATGAAAAATTGTAATATATATATATATATTAATTTATTTATAACTATAGTTTATATATTTTAGGTTCAAAATATGTTGACTTGTTTTATGTTTAAGTGAATTCATTGAAATAATTGATACTCAAATTATATTCCTTATTATAAGAAAAATGTCAACCAAAACAATTTATGATGATATAAATTTAGCATTTGTTATTAATAGATTATTGTGCATGTCTTGCATCAAAATTAAATCTAATAGTATATCTATTCATTGGGGACTCAGTTTATTTCTCCCTGTTGTAAGTATTTTACAAGCAGAAGTAGCATTTCAATTTTTTTGGTGTGAATATATTAGTATAGAATATATATTATGGGTGTAACGGATTTAGGGATTATCTCTCATTTTGACGTTGATTAGCTGAGGCCAGATAAACTGTAACTAAAGGGCCAAATTTATTACACTGAATTTTAGGTAGTCATTTGTATACTTCACCAGTCAGAAATAACTATTGTTTAGCACAGATAACTAAAAATAAATATAGTTATTAAGAAAATAATTTTATTAAGTGATAAATAAGTTCAGATAAAATTACCTTTTTAATTTTCATCTAAATAAAGATTATGATAACATGATTTTTATTTAGATAATATGATAGATATTTAACCAAAGAAACATCGTTTAAAATGTAAATAAAAACAAATTTGCCTTACTTGTTAATGATCATAGAAAGAAATTTTGAATATATAATTATCTAGTTATTGTATCTAAATATTACTAAAACTATATTTGTCACTCTTTTTACAAATTCAATCTACTTCATAAAAAAATCAAGCTAGTGTAATGTAATATTATAAATTTAATGAACTTTTATTGGTTCCAAGTTTGAAAATAAGATTATAATTCGTAAAACAATTACAGTGAACAGAATTCGATTGCAATAATCTTTTATATATAATATTTCAATTATTAGAAAAAATTAAATAGATTAAACAAAATAATTTTATATCAACAGGTTTTAAATATAACTGTAAATGGATTAATTTTTGCAAATGCTTTCCGAAGACAATCTCGAATTGTGTGGTATTGGGCGCTTAGTGGAAGTTTGAGAGAAAATTTTAGGTTCTTAACATCGGTGTATTATTCTGATAGAAAAATACCTAAGATTGTTAATAAAATTCATGACTTCGATGTGAAATATGGATATCAACTTCGGGACAAATCTTCTTCTACATATTATATGTTTATTTATATACTATTAATAACGCTGATATTAATTTTCAGTGGTATAGATTTGGTATTTAATGAGATTTCAATCGAAAATTTTGACTATGTTATAGTTAGGTAAAATATTTCACAAAATTATACGTGTATATCCTAACGAACATTAACATTCAATATTACTAAAATGTAATTCGCAGGTATTGGAACACAATGTTTCCTGTTTCATTCCTAATTTTATGTGACGAAATATATCGCCGATTTCAAACGTTCAACAATGTATGGAAGCATGAGATATATAGATTGTCGATGGTCGAATCACAGGCAGTATTTAAAAAAATGGAAATGGCCCGTTTAGCACATGCTCATCTCTGTGAACTTATTACCGACGTTCGTTCAGCTTTTGGATTTCGCCTTTTCACATATTTATTGTTTGTATTTCAAGATCATGTGGCACGAGTTTTTTTTTTTTTTTACTTCAAGTCAGATGAATTGAATGAGTTTTCTAAAAAAATTGATTCTGACATATTAGAACAAGTTTTATTCATCGTGCATAGTTGGATTGGCATATTTCTAGTGACTAACATATCTGATAAATTGACAGAATCTGTAATTATTAATTTGTTTTATTTTTTAGTGTGATTCTTTCATTAATAATTTCATATTTAAGTACATATTTTAAAACATCATATTTATGTATAGAACAAATAATAATCGATCTGATGCTTAACAAGGAAAAAATTAGTTCAATAATATGTTTAGATTTATCCTACACGTATAATATCGACACCCTCATGGGAAGAACACAACTCAATATAACATAACTTTTCAGGTTATTTTAAATGTTTAAAGTTAAATTATTTGTCTATTGGAAATTTAAAATTAAAATAAAACATTTCATTTATTTAAGTAATAAGAGCAAATTAGAATATTTGTTATTTACTAATTATTTTCTTTCATTAACCAAAGTCCTTGAATTATGTTCTTTAATTTTGTAGATTATAAACATATATTTTAAGTAAGTCTTAACTTGGGAAATTTTTATTAATGAACACGTAACTCTTGTCATAATTGGAATTTTAAAAACAAAACTGAAAAGTGTTAATATTTTATTAAAATTTTATAACATAGTATTTTTTTTGCTCGATAATGCTCTTTTCAACAAATTGAGAAAAGAGACACTATGACAACTTTAAAAGTGGCTAGATCCTACGATTTTTGTCTATAAATTTATAAATTAAATTTATTTTTGTGAGAAAAAATTTATTTTGCTTGAGTTACGACTCTCTTCATCAATAATTTTAATTTTAGATAGATTTAACATCCATGATTGCCGGGAAAAGTTAATTTATGCTTCTTTGCTCTAATTGATTTATAACTTTTTGTCAGTAAAATTTTCAAAATTTTGATATAATGTATAGAAATAAAATTGTTCAAAATTATTTAGAAACCAAAAAAATTAATTAAATTAAGTTTTCTTTCTAAGAGGGTCGATAGTATAGTATATACGATATTACTATGGTGATAATATTTTGTTATTAACCAAAAAAACCAAGTGGGTCTATTCATCCTTGATCATATAAAGCTTCTAATTATGATTCATTGTTTTTGTAGTTATAATGTCTCTCATTTAAAATATTTTAATATTTTACAGAGTGTACAAATTTCTTCACATCTGAGAAATATAATATTAAGGAAACTTCCGAAAAAATGCGTTGATCAGGTAAAACTTGAACTTTAAAGAAATTAAAAAACATTTAATAAAAAGGGTTTTGAAATGTTAAAAACTTAATATTAATTTAGTTATAATATTTCAAAAAAATTTTACACAGGTTATTTTATTTATGTGTCAATTACAAAGAACCAATACTAAAATAACAGCTCTTAGACTTTTTACCGTGAACAAATCTACATTATTATCTGTAAGTATTGAATTTTTATTTAGATATATTCAGCCTAAAAGTATCAACTTAAATTATAATTATCACACTGTTTCATTGCAAATCCACTGAATAAGAATAAAATAAAAGGCCTCCTGCTATGAATCATGTTTTAACCAAATAATAGTACCATAAAATTATATGACACTATTAATTTGAAATATAAATTTTTTCTGTAATTAAAATGGATGTAACGTGACAAAAAATAACTATTTATTTTTTTGTTTATTTGTATAGTTATATATATTTGTGTTATGCCGAATGCGTACTGCGTCGGCGTTTATCAGTTTGTGCGCGCGCGAGATAGTCAGCTGTGTAATACTTCAGACCGGTTCTTGGACGACATTTGTGTGTACATTCACCCCGCTTCTTTCCTATCTTGAACGTCATTTGCACTGCTCACCGCATACATTGTCGCCATATGATTTAAATTGTTCTTAATAATTTCCGGCACTGGGTATTAAGTATTTTTTTTGACCTCTACTCTAAAGGCTAGCCGTGTTGTCGCCAACGGACCGCCGGGTCAAACGACGCAAGTTTTGTCGGAAATTAGCCATCGTCAGAACTGGTACGCTAATTTTCGTCCGTATCGTGAGTTTTCTGTTGTTGTGTGCGTTGCAACTTTTTAATTTTTTATATATATTTTTCGTGAGTGTTCGTTATTTTTTTTTATAATGCAAATTCTTTGTTGGTTGGCGTCGGCTAATCCTGCCTCCATTTTCTGTAGCCCCGAAGGGCTGGTAATGTATAGTTTATTATATAATGTTTTGAGCCAGATTATTATTTATTTTTTTTTTGTGCGCCGTGCCATAAGCACGTGTGGCGAATTTTTTTGTATTTTTTTATAGTTTTTTTTTTGTATAGGTGCCCTTATTTTTATTTAGGTCCCTCAACATGGCAAGCGTGTTCCAATACCACCTGTCATGTTATATATTTTTTTTTTATAGGTTTTATATTATATTTTATTGGGTGATGAATATGTTATTAGTACAATGTGGCGACGTAGTGCATTTTATTCCTGATGTCCCAACGTCTTGCAAGCTAAGTCTAACTGCCAAAAACCAGTCGCTTACTTGGGACGTATACCCGCCGTGCTTAGCGGTAATACCGCGATTAATAGCCGGCGAGTACCCGAAGACGTTCACCGTATTCTCTAATAATAAAAGTGTAGGTGTAACTATTTTTTTTTTATTAATGTCTGTTTTTTTTCTCTCTGTTCCCCTTTAATTTGTAGACGAGGTTTTTTGACCATTCGGTCTTTTGCCTCGTAGTAACTTAATTTTTTTTTTTTTTTTTTTACTTAATAAAGTCCCTCTTATTTAACTTAACCATCATATTTTTCTTTTTTTTTGCGTATTCCATCTTCAATGGACTCGTGTATTTTTTTCCTTTCAAAAATCAACTCCCCTAGTTTATAAGGTACGGGCAACGGCCTTGTATAAGGTTATCCCTCATTGATATGGTTATGTGACAACTGTCACGAGGTTTTGGTGTACATCTACTATCAACGACTCAACGGACATCAACTTTAATATTTATTAATTTTATATTTTTGGTTAATTGTTTTAATATACAAAAGTTAATTTTTTTAAAATCCTACTGTGGTCCGACAATACACTGTCTCGCCCAGTAGGTTGGCGACCCTTTTCTTATAATTTTGTAAAACGCCATGAAAGTTACAAATTTTTCGTTGCGGCCAATTAGTTTGATTTTTTTTTATATATTTGTAACCTTTCATGGAATACTAAGAAAATACCTGAGGAATAAGCTGGTGAATAAGCGACTAAATTTCAGTAATTCGTAGATACATTAAATGTAACCACGTTAATAGCTTATACAAAATTCCTATAAATGGGAGCCGTTATTAACGGTTATCATATTAACGATATTAAATAGAAATACTTCTTCATTGATTAATAATTATGTTGCAACCTACAATAGTTCCTTTAAACCGAACACCTTTTGAGTTTTATAAATTACATGGTCTCTTAAAATTTTGTATACAAATAACAAAAAATAAAACTGTCCCCATTTTGATTTTTTTTAAAAATACATTAATTTAATATAAAAAATTTCAATTACTTTTTATTCATGATGTTTCTTTACTATTTTATATATGTTTATTAACATTCAATTTGAAAGTTAATGTCGTTTAAAACAATATTATATTATCCTTTTAAAAAAGGTGTAAGTACTATTTAATACAAATATATGTTTTATACATTTAAATTGAAAATTTTATTATTTTTTGTTTAATATATTTAAAAATATATTCAAAAAAAGTTAACATTAAGTACTATATGCTATTCAATCCACCTTGTCCTAATAGTCAACTTGCACCATTCTCCTCTACGTCTATTGAACTTTCAGTAATAATATACTTTAGTCTTCTTAATCAGTCTACACTTTTTATTTTTTAATTTACCTAGATTAATTTACTAGTTTCCCTTCTGATTTTTAAAAATTACCTGCAATCATATTCAAATTGGAATAAAAAATATTCACAATTTTTATTTTTAATTTTAACATTTAACATTACTTTAAAATAATTTACACATTTTTCTAAAGAAATGTGAAACTATTTTTATTTTATATGATATACTACGTATAATAAATACACATAGTTCCCTCAAATCACAAAATTCAGTATTACCCCAAATTACTATTTTGAAAGAAATGTTCAGAAATAGAATTGTCATTTTAAATTATACTATTCAAGTATATATTTTAATTAAAGACAATAACATTGTTTATAAATATATGTTAAAATTATTATATTTAATTTAGAAGTTTTTGATTTTTTTAACTCGAAATTTTATATTACTCAGTAATAATTTTCCAATGATCTTAATTTGTTGATATACTCCCTTTTTATAAATTAAATTTTGGTAATTTATTTTGTTTTATTTAGTTGATTTTAAATTTTATTCAACTGGGAGTTTACTTTTTACTAAAATGATATCAGAAATTGTTCAATAAAATTATATTTATTTGTTTCAGATGTTAATGTCGTTAGTTACTTATACCATTGTAGTAATAGAATTATCACAAGATCTAAAGCGGTATTTTAATAGTACTCCTGTATAAAATTTAATAAAACTGAAAGAACCTGAACAAATTTTTAGCTTACACTACTTTATACTTTTCATAAAAACATTTATATTATTCAAATGTCCATTTGTACTTACAGTAAATTATTTCTTAACTAATTTGAATTAATAAATTATTAATGAGTAATAACATTTTTAGAACATTATTAAAAAAAAAATACTATTAGGAAAGTAATTTTACATAAATATTTAATAGCTTTTATGTATTATGCATTAGTATACATTTAATTATATATAACTTAGTTGTACAAATTTCCTATTTAACTATGATATTGCAAATTGTTATAATTGTGATGGGAATAAGCTAATACTTTAGTTACAAAATACTTATTTAAAATTCATAGCTTTATGTAATATTAATCATTTGATTAATACTCACAATATTTAATTTTCGGAATTGTAAAAGTCTAAAGAACTTTTTTTTTTGATATAAATAAAGTTTTTTATATCTTCTCGTACTAATGAATACGCTGGTTATTTATTAAAATAAAGTATCTACCAAATGTCAATAAAAAGCGTTTATGATAATGTGAGATTAGCGTTAATTATTGACAAGATCATACTAATATCAAGTGTTAAGAACGTTTTTCGTGGGATACCATCTTTTGGATGGGGAATGAATATTTTGTATCCTATCGTATGTACTTAATTATTTTTTTTTTAATCTATGATTGATTTGAATTTTTAAGTTAAACTCATATTAATAAAATCGTTAGTTAAGTCAATTTTTTGTTAAAAATTATAAATATTGTTTGTGTTTAATACTATTATGTTTTCATTATGCAAAGTAGTATTGTTTAGAGTATTTAAACTATAATTATCTCACACGCCAATCTTTTCTATTTTAAAATGTTTTATTATTTAAGTGGTTAATGATAAATGAATTACTCTGTATAATACGGTTATGTATTTATTTATAGATTACTAACATAATTTTATCTGGTTGTCTTCTATTATATGCTACACGTCGGCAATCATCTATAGTATGGTGTGGGGCGCTTCATGCAATTGTAAGAGAATTTGCCCGTTTATTTACATCGATATACGCCGATAGAAAAATTCCTATAATTTTAACAAAAATAAATCAGTATGACAAACAATATGGTTGGATATCAAAAAACAGATCTGGTTTAAGATACTATTTGCAGATTTATATTATATTTTATCTAAATATAATAATTTTAGCTAACATTAATATGATATATTATGGGTTTACAATACAAAATATCAGCAAAAATGCATTAAGGTAAATCGTAATTTATGTTAAAAAACATGTTTAATTAAATATTTAATATAAATAATAACTAAAAACTAAAAACTTCAAAATCTGAACTTTTTTATATTAATTTATTTTAAAATTAATGCCCAGTTGGACATTTTTATACAAGATACTTAAATATTACAGTTATAGTAAACGATTAATGACAAAACGTTTAGCGATATGAGGCTAAATTGAAATAGATCTGTTGTTAGAAATATTATAGATTTACACAATTAGTAGATAGAACAGTTTTATCACTTTCAAAAGATATAAAAGAAAGAATGGAAGGTTATTTTTTATAATGTCGTAACACAATAAAAGAAAGGAAACAGGTGTAAATGTAATTGTGATGTGTACGAAGATGAAGATGAGGATGTGGTGCCTGCTGTCTAATTATTCACGTGCGTGTTGTCGTACAGCAGTCACCGTGCTCGGCTGACACTCCGGGTTAGCTGTGGGTGTCGAAAGGCTGTTGTTATAGGAAGGGACTAAGGGTAACACCTAGGTATGAGGTGCAGACGAAGTGCAAGACACAAGTACTCTGAAATGTTGTGGAAGAGAGTAGATAGGTTAAAAAGGAAAAAACAAAGACTTAACTTTAAGCAGTAAGCCGGACAGTGACAACCGAGTACTGAGATTGATGAATGACACAAGGCACTGGAGTCGACTGATGACGATGGTCAGGTATTTTGGGTTTTTTATAATAATTAGAACTAATGCCAATTTGGCAATAAATATTATTTGTTAATTAATCAGTCTCAGGAAGCGGATGTGCTGTCTGTATTTTATTAAAATAATTCTCACGCTAATGGTAACGTGACACCATCACAGTAATCTCTGACAAAAGATTTTAGCGGGATTTAGGGAAAGATTATACTCAATTTTATAGATACAATTATTTTAATCAACTTTAGACATTCTTTTATACTTAGTTCTTAGTTGTGAAAACACAAAATAGTTCGTAGATGATTTTGACTTCTTAAAAATTACATAGACTCATTTTATTTTCCGTTATAACCTATTCGAGTCAAAGAGACTCAACGGGGATATTCAGACGCATAATAGGATTTCTTTGGATTAAAACGCTGAATAGCAGATAAAATTGCATCATTAAAAATATAAGCGACATCAACAATAGAATAAAGTAAGATAGTTGTAACCCAATTATAGTTAAGAAAATTAGTCATTAGACTACAGTCAACCATTTTAAGTCATAGTAAAAATATGAAAGGGTAGGAGAACCTACAGCGTAATGCGAGTATTCGAAATAAAAGGAGGATATTAGATGTCACGATACAGGTCATTATGCATCAGTGAATGAAAATAGTTTGTAAAAAATAATAACAAAAGTATTATTATGATGAATTAGATTGAGATCGAAGTTATGCTATAAAGAAATTAAAAAAACCCAGCACAGGGGGGTCGCGGCATAGTGGTGACGTGGCATAGTTAGATCAAGTATAATGATATCTATACAGTGATTAAAATCACTATAAAAAAAAACGCTTCGATGCAAATCTTTAGATAGTGTTTAATTTTAAAAAATTGGTGTATTATTCCAAAAGCTACATGATCTGCTAGTTCCTTATTACTATCATTATTAAGATAAAGTATGATGAATGAAAAAGGATTATTAAAAAATATTATTTCTCATAAAAAAATTGTGTTGATCCATACACTTTTCAATAAGTTATAGCATTATAAAGTTAAATATAATATAAAAATAAAATCGAGTATTTTCACACGAAAATAGCATTCGATAGCCATTTTCGCCGTGAAGACAAGTCCAGAGGTCAAATTTTTTTTTTTTAAATTAAAGTATATTACATTAGCTTTAATTTATATATAAAAGTGTCAGACCTTCCGGAATATTTTCAAAAGTTAAGTTGTTTTTTGTGAAAAAGTTGTCTTTTTAAATCCCCCTCTGTGGGCAGATAAAGGGTCAGATTTACAAAAAAAATATATCAAATGATAGGTAATCAAGCATTTATATAAAAAAAAAAATTATATTGATATGTTCATTTTTGAAAAAGTTACGGTTTTAATAAAAAAAAATTGAAAAAATTTCGAAAATTAGCGATTTTTAAATTTGTAATTTTTTTGGAGGTTTCCCCAATTTACAGGGAACGANATTATATTGATATGTTCATTTTTGAAAAAGTTACGGTTTTAGTAAAAAAAATTGAAAAAATTTCGAAAATTAGCGATTTTTAAATTTGTAATTTTTTTGGAGGTTTCCCCAATTTACGGGGAACGAGGGAATTTTTTTCAATTTTTAAGGGTAATGTCTTCGACTAGATACGATTTGTGATCTTTTGACGTATTGTTGAAAGAANAGGGTAATGTCTTCGACTAGATACGATTTGTGATCTTTTGACGTATCGTTGAAAGAAATCGGTTCGGTAAGAGCTGAGAAAAAGTGGTACAGAAAAAAAAAAAAAAAAAAAAAAAAAAAACACATCATAGTAAAACCAATACCTTCTCAGCTTCGCATCGAAGCTAAAAGTGAAGGTATCAGCGATTAAAGATAAATTCTGTAATAAATACTTGATGCAAAAAGACCCAACTAGTTGTTAGACCAAATAATGTTAGGCAAGTTGAAATTGTCACAAAGTATGCATGTTTAGGGTGTGAATGTGGATTCAAGACATTCAATGGTATATACAAATCATTCAACAACAGTAGTTGGAGTGTTAGGAGGTAGTAATACTGTCCCATTCGAAAAGAATTAAAATACATTAATTTATTATTTCACTTAAATAAGTCTACTTTTCATGACTATAAAAAAAAAAGTCAAGTATAGAAACAGAAAATTTTTTAAATTTTCCTTAATCTTTTAATTTTTTCAGTTTTTACTATAATTGATTTATTTTTAACTTCAAAATATCTCACAAATACTTGTTACAATTATGTTATGTATTCCAAATGCTTACTTAGAAATTTTTCTATTAGGTTAATAACTAATAATGTTTATGATTGTTCATAACTTCTAATATTTTTATGATATTTATTCTTAAAGGTTTAAACAGCCTTATTATTTTGTTTAAAGTTAAATAAACGCAAAGTTTATTATATTTCAGATATATGACAACAATTTTTCCATTGATGTACTTGGTGTTATGTGATGAATTAATTTTTCGATTTCAAGATTTGGAAAAAAGATGGCGAACAATTGTCTATGAGACATTAAATAATAAAACACCATTTTCAACTGAAAAATTAGAGACGGAGCGTTTAGCACATTCTTTTCTTTGTAATATTCTTGAAGAAATTCGCTCAATATTTGGACTACGTCTTGCCACTTATGTCTTTTTTGTTTTTCAAGAACACTTAATACGATTTTACTTTTCAATTTACTTTAAATCATATATGATAGACGATTTCTCTAAAAATGAAAAATTGTTTTATAGTGATATATTATTTTTTATCACACATAGCTGGATAGGAATATTTTTTATTACATCTTTTTCCGAAAAACTCACATTAGCTGTAAGTAAATTTTATTAATATTAAATATTTTATGGTAAATTTTAGGAAAAAATGTTTGGCTTTTTTTATTTATGTATATTTTTTAATTTATCACCTATAAATTACTTTTTATAATCATCCCTTAAAAATTATAGGGATGTCATCTTTATTTTTTTTTTAATGGCAACTACACAAATTACTAGTTTATTTAATAAATAATGTAGTAAATAAGAAAATTATAACGATAACAACTTTTGGACCGGTATTTAGGAAGTTAATACAATTTAAAGTTATAATTGGAGGTGTGAAGTGTGTGCAGCTATTTTGATCACTAGTCATTTTCTGATTGTACTCTTCCACTAACCTCATCTTATCATTTAGTTTGTAAAAACTTAGCCCGCATGATAAACACATAATTTATTAAAATAAAGTCAGCCTATAATATGTAGAAGCCTTGTTACATTACTTTCTTGGTGTTTTTTGTAGTAACTAATTCTTCTTCTTCTATTTCCTCGCCTTAATCCCAACTACTTAGGGTCGGCCACTCTTATCCTAAGGTTCCACTTGACACGATCTCAAACATCATCTACGCTCATGTTAGCCGTCCTCATATCGTAGTTACTAATTAATTTAAAAAAAAATATTTTTCTTTATTAAAAAATTTAGTTTAAATGTAATGTGATAAACAAAATTTGCTATCGATATTTTCATTATTTTTTAATTTTATCAATCAGAACTCTTTTATTCTACAACAAGAAACATTAATAATTCAATAAAAATACACGAATAATAATAATACTTTAATTAACATTTTTTTATTTTAATTAATGTAAAAACCATTTTAAACATATTAATCATAAACAAATACAAAGCAACTTTTTTCCTAATTAAAAACATTCTTAATTATTTAAGATAAAATTTACTTTTTATGAAAGTCAAACTTGCATTTAACATTTGTTTAGAAACTACTTTTTATGTTAAAAATAACTTTATTATTAAATGTAATTAATTAATTTTTTTAGAGTAAAACAATAATGAGTCACCTGAGAAGTATACCAATATGGAAGTTATCTAAAGAATCTGTTGATCAAGTAATTACAATTTAGATTTTAAATTATAATTGTATATAATTTAAGAATAATACATTTTTAATTATTCTGTTACACAACATAGTGTACATAAATTAGGAAAATGAAACATTTTTTGTAGTGAAAACTTCTCTCGGGGGGCTCTGGATTTCATTGGAATAAACAGGTGAAACGAGTTAGCGACACTGACAATTGTATATCTGTACACATACATTCTTTATGTATACAGTGTTCAGTAAGTAAGGAAACAGATCAATTGTTACATACAATGAGAAACAATAGAAATTCGCTCCCTTAATACTAAACACTCTATATATACGTGGGCGTGCGCGTCATCGCTTGAAAAAAATAAGAGTGAACGCATGAAAAAATCATTGACACTGATAAATGTAACGATTTCAATTTAATATATCTATTTTATCATAAAGAAATTGCATTTTATTATATTTTAGTTATCATAAACTGATATTAACAATTATAAAAGATGATAATAATAATAACGAATCTAATTCAAATGTTGAGGAAGTGTAACATGTAAAAATGAAAAATGAATAAAAAACTAATTTTATAATAAATCTATTATGTTTATTTATTATACACCGACTCACTAAAGTCTGCCGTTTTTAAGTTTAATTTAAACCAATAATCAATGTTTATTAGTAGAAATTTTCATTTTTGTTTACTGTCCCAAAGCGGTAATTTGGGGTTTTGTCTTTTATCATTCTTTAATTATGAAATTGAAAAATTTATAATTTAAATAACAGATTATGAATACGCAATTAATAAAACGATAAAAATACGTATATTTTTCAATTTCCAAAAATTGAATTGAATTTTTTTAATTTTAGGTGGTCTTTTTTATGTACCAAGTACAAAATTTAAAAACTGAAATATCGGCTTGTGGCCTATTTACTGTCAACAAATCTATTTTATCAACAGTAAGTATTTTCATAATATTGACATAAATTAAAGTCTATTATGTATCCATGCACTACTTAAATTGTTTAAATAATCATCTTTGTTTGCATAATTCAAGTGAAATTTCAAGGCAAAAAATTAAATCGACGGTACAAGAATCATCTTAATTTATATTTATCAAATTTTTGGAAAAACAGGGAATCGTATTGGTTTATTTAACATAAAGTTGCGAAAAATGTTATGTTTTTTAACATTATCTTTTGATACATTGTTAAGTAACATTAGAATGACACCTTCTCAGAATTACATTGAAGCTAAAATTTGTATTATGTCATATATAAAGAGGTGGCGGCACAGTGGGGTCATGGCATAGTTGGTTCCAGTATAGATGATATCTGACAGTGATTAAAATCACTATCATAAAAAACGCTTCGATGCAAATCTGTAGATAGTGTTTAATTAAAAAAAAAAATTTGTTAAAATAGCATATTTTTAAATATGCTAGCCATTTGCTCATAGAAGATAGATNATATGCTAGCCATTTGCGCATAGAAGATAGATCGTCAGGACAAATTTTTTTTTTTCATTTTATATAACATAAAATAAGCTTTAATTTGATATATGTTTAAAGGACGCAGTATTTCCGGAACATTTTCAAAAATTAAGTTGAAAAAGTTATTTTTTGTAAAAAAGTTACTATTTTAAATTCCCTCAGTGAGCAGAATAAGTGTTAGATTTAAAAAAAAAATTATATCAAATGAAAGGGAAATATCTAAGGTTTCAATACAAAAAAATATTATTTTTATTTGTTCATTTTTAAAAAAGTTATAGTAGTTTTAAGTACAAAAAACATCTTGATAAAAGATAATTTTTATCGCAAACATTACATTTTTTTTTAATTTTCGACAGCCATTTGCACATAGAAGATAAGATGTCGGGACAAATTTTTTTTTTTCATTTGATAGTATATAACATAACCTTTGATTTGATATATGTTTAAAGGACGCAGTATTTCCGGAACATTTTCAAAAGTTCAGTTGAAAAAGATCTATGTTTTTTACAATATTTTAAGTTTTGAACATCCCCTATATAAGGGAAAATTGTCCAATTTTAATAAAAAGTATGTCAAATCAAAGATGTACTTATAATGTATTTATAAAAAAAAAATTTGTGCTGATATATACATTTTTCAAAAAGTTATAGCATTTTTAAGTTGAAAATTTAAAATCGAAAATCGAAAATTTTAACACAAAAATAGTGTTTTTTTAACTACGGCAGCCGTTTAAATGTAGAAGAAAAAGTGTCGGGACAAATTTTTTTTTTTCATTTTATAGTACATAAAATAAGCTTTAATTTGACATATGTTTGAAGGACGCAGTATTTCCGGAACATTTTCAAAAATTAAGTTGAAAAAGTTAATTTTTGTAAAAAAGTTGCTATTTTAAATCCCCCCCAATGAGCAGGTTAAGTGATATATTTTCAAAAAAATGATATCAAATGAAAGGTAAATATCTAAGGATTTATTATAAAAAAAATGTATGTAGATTTGTTGATTTTTCAAAAAGTTATGGAAGTTTTAAGAAAAATTATAATTGATCATTACGATGATATAAAATTTATGAATTGATGTACTAAAAGATGACTATAATATATTCATCCACTTTTGCTTCTTTGAACAAAAAAAATGTATGAAATTAAACCTCAAACAACTAGGTCTTTTATTAACTGTAACCAAAATGAAAACTATTATACAGAGCAATTCTTTTTTCATAAAACAAAAATATTTTATTAAATGATACTATTTAAATTACATACAGAGTGAGTCACGAAAATATGACAAATTCAATAACTTTTGATCCAATTAATATTTTACGTTTATTTCTATTTAAATTTTTTTTTACATTTTAGGACTAAAAAAATAACATAACAGACCATATGTTTTAATTTATTAAAAAAAAGTGAAAAAAATTAAAATTTAACAAAAATGTAAAAAAAACTTAGAAATAGCCATTTTGTAGAATAAATTTCAACAACAAATTTGGTGAAAAACATCTTATTAAATTACAGTAGTAAATTATCTGTAGCATTATAAAGCTTATGAATATTAGACTAATGCAGTGTATTAGTTGGTAACAATTTATGATATCATGGAACTTTTAGTAATTTTAAATTTAAGTATTTTTTTATACAAAATTAGTTACTTATTAGTAAATTTTTGTTATCGAACGAACCAAAAAAAGTATAATTATTTTCCATCACAAATTTTCAATAAATATTCATTAATTCAAATAATTTTCATGTTAAATATATTTAAAAAAATATTTTAGCTGAATTTTTTTATACCTCTCTCTCTTAATAATCTTACATGGTGACATAGTTTATAAATTGTTTTAAAAATCTTTAAAAGAGCCAGTTTNTTTCTCACTGTTAATAACCTTACATGGTGACATGGTTTATAAATTGTTTTAAAAACCTTTAAAAGAGCCAGTTTTTCATAATGTTCCGGTACTTGAAATGGTTTTTTAAAATTAATAATATGAGTTTCCTATTGGGTTCTCAGTTTTTTATTTTTTTTTACAGAAATTTTTTTGAACTGGTTCTAAAAGGTTTTAACTCCTGTTAGTAATATAAAATTTATCAAACTTAAAAAAAAATTAACAATGTTTCTGTTTCAGATGACCATATCTTTGGCTACGTACATTATTGTCATAATACAATTGTCACCTGATTTAAATCGAATCTTTAAAAATTAGCTACATTTCTTTTTGACTTNGAATCTTTAAAAATTAACTACATTTCTTTTTGACTTTATTCATATGTACACTAAACTAGATATTAATTATTAGTAATTATTTACAATTTTATAATATCTAACGTGCTTATTTTATTGTTAAACGTTAAATTATTTATTATATATCTTCAGTATTATTTACTAAACCGGGAAATGTAACATTTACCAAATTATTAAATGATGAGTTTTCATCCATCTGAACCTTGGTTATGACACATTTAAACACAAAAACTGTAATCTATAAAATTAATTATCTTAGTTTTTTAAGTTGTAATAGCAAAATACTACAAAATATTTATTTTTATTACAATCACATATATATGTATAATGTAATATATTATGATTGGAACAAAAACAATAACCATAATTATATCAATACATTTTAGATTATATTAACATAAAAAAGTATAAATATAAAATAAGCTGAAATAATACAGAGTGATTCATTCATCATAAACTACGCAAGTAATTTAAAAACTAAGAAAAAATTGATAATTTTTTTTTTTTAGATTCTTTTAGGTACATGTTTTTTTCAGTTTATCACTCATGAAGTATATGTTCTATCCTACCATACCTTATATGAGTATGGTATTATACACACATTTTATTATCAACTTTATTTTTTTCAAATAGCAACATACATAATTAACTAGTTTATTAAATAAATAATCTAATAAGAAAATAACTGATCTATATTAACTTTTGGAAAATAGTATTTCAGAAGTTATTAACATTTTAAAGTGTTGACTTGAAGTCAGACGCGGGTGTCGTTATTTTGATCACTAGTTATTTTCTGGCTGTACTCATCCACCACCCAAGTTAAAAAAAATTGTAATATTACAACAGAAATGGCGTAGTAACTTGTGTTTTTTGAGGCTCTCTACTCTACTTCAGCTTACTAAGACATTAAAAAATGTTAACGTTAACCTAATAAGAGTTGAAAAATATATTTTTTTAGCAGTATGTTTTTATTTCTCTTAATACTTTAGAAAAATATAGTATAAGACATAGTAAAACGATTATTTTATAAAAAAACTTCGTACCCATGATATCAACGTTAAATCATAATCGAAGACGCCAAATGCTGATAACTCATAATATTCATAACTTGAAACTTGTTCCATAAAGAATAATACCTATAATTTTTTTTAATTTAAAAATTAAAACTAAAATTTTCTCTTTCATTTGTTTTATACTTAAAATATTGGATTTAAATTGTCGTAATATTTAGGTAACAAATATGTCAATGCACATTTAGTGCTTCACTTATTGATTTAAAATAAATAAAAACATTAATTTATATAACAGAAAAAATGTAGACGGTTTATTGTTTAAAACACTAAGAAAATTTATATAAAAATTATATTAATGCACTACGTGTACTTAACTACTTAACCGATTAACTGACGACTACCTAACTAACTGATTGACGTTATTATTACGTCACGCCGTTTTATATTGTGTTGAGTTCTAGAAGATTCTCTTACGGAGCGATCGAGAACAATCGTGCGTATATGCATTTTGTG